TAGGGAAATCAGAGAAACTCAGTGAGAGGGAGAACGAAAGCAGAGAATTTTCCTGTAATTTAACCTATCCAGGGTGATCCTTCAGTAGGTCATATTTAATTCAGTTTGGCACTTTAAAAATTGAATAATCTATCACTGTGGCACATCCTGCTGGGGACCCAGCATTGCTGCTGCTCATCCTTTTTCCTTCTCTCATCCTCACTCTTAGGTGGAAACATATGCTTTTCCTTGTTTTTTTTTTTTTTTTTTTTTTTTTTTTTCTTCTTATCTATGTTGTTTCCATCCCCGGGACATGTTCTCTTCTACTCCATTTCTAGATTATTCTAGTGTCTTCTAAGAGTTCTGGAGTAAATAATCATGATCTCTTAGCTAAGTAGATTCCCAATAAACATTCACATTATCTGGTTCTTTCATCCAACAAATCCTTTTTGACACATATGTGCTGTGTTAAACTGGACTGTCAGTTGGATCGGTTTGCAAGCCACCTAAGGGAATTAGTAAGATACCCTCCTGGATGTGTCTGAGGTGAGTCATGGAAGCCTGACCTCTGGTACCCTTCCTCTCTGATGCTGTTCCCTTGCTGTGGTTCCTAGCCACCATGAAGTAAGAAACTTAGCTTTACCATCCCCTTCTATCATGACTTTCCTGCCTTGGAGCCAGTCAACCAGGGATAGAATCCACTTAAACAACAGCACCTTCCCTTCTTAAAGCTGCAGGAGTCAGATATTTTGTCCTGTAGTAGAAAAGCTGACCAATACAAGTCATATGAGTTTGACAGTGAACATCGTGTACATCAACCTTGTTCTGTATGAACTTAGCCTAGTGGAGCCAAAGAACTAAAGAAATGAGAAATACAAGATGACACTCTTATGTAAGGAGACTCAACACAGGATGCTAGGTTTTGTTTGACCAAAGATTACTCTAGCTCAAACCCAACATTCGGTCACTGAGGGGTACAAATACAAACTGGAGAAGACCTCAACTTATGTGCCCTTATTTTCAGATCTGGGGTAGGATATAGCCTAGTTTTATTTATTCTCAGTAGCTTTTGAGATGGCCATATCCACAGGCCAATTTGGCTCCCTAACTCAGCCAGCTACAACGAAAATAGACTGGGTAAACATGAGCTGAATTAAACTGGCCAATATATGCATTGATTTTTTTCCTTTGTAAATCATTAAAAGCCTGAAATCATGCCAGAATTAAGTACGAATAATGCAATTGTTACTCATCTTGTCCAAGACTTCCATTTTCATCTTCCCATCCTATTTAAAGGAACTGAGCCAAGATAGGTCTCCTTGAGAAAGATTTAAACTAAAGAGGTAGGGAGAGAATGCTCTGTCCCTTTTGGGCATTCTGAGCACTTCCACACAGCTCTCGTATGCTAACTGTCAGTGCGACAAAGTCCACAGAATCAAGCCTCAGTTCTCCATCCTGAGTCACTTCACATGATTCTTTCTCTTGTCCTAAATCTGAGAGACTTCCCTTCAAAATCTTCTCTTATTGTATGGTCCACACGGAATGGGGCAGAATGAAAAATACGGGTTTCTCTAAACTTTCTGCATCAGTCTGGAGTTCAATTCTGATTTTCTAGATGATCAAGGATTGCATACCTCCTACAAGAGTAAAGCAAACAGAAGAAATAAAATTCTCAGGACTTTTAACTGGGGAGGGAGGCACAATCATTGCAATTCATCATTAGACTTTTTAGTTGCAAATTTCTGCTAAAGAATAAACAAAGGTCTGATGTTCTCATATCCATACTATTATTTGCCATTAAATTACTCTGATTCAGTTACATAGTATATTAACTAAATATAAGTTTATTGTAGGAAAAAGTGTTAAATTAACAACTCAGCTGGGTAGGATGGCACATACCTGTAATCTCAGCACTTGGTAAACTGAAGCAGAAGGATGGCCATGAGTTTGAGGCCAAGCTGGGCTACATGGTGAATTTAAGGCCAGCCTGAACTATGCAAAGAGACTCTGTATCAAAACAAAACATAATTAGCACACATATGTTGTTGCAATTTAGGAATTTTCAGCTTTTTTAAGGATATAAAAAGTTCCTGGTTGGTCACTTTATCACTCATTCTTACATACTGACCCCCTGAAACTCATATATCAGAGAGGGGGAGATCAGATACGAAAGTTCACAACTTTAAATGTCCTCAGATTTACTGAAGGCCCACAAGTAATTCCTACATCTTCTATTACCTACATGTGTTAATTTATTCTCAGAGTTAATGGATTATTTGCTATTAAGAAATAAAAAGAAGTGAACAATGCCAAATGAAAATCAAACTAGCTTTCGTGAATTCCTAGCACTCTACTATTAAATAAGATATATAGGCACTATATATACTAGGAAAAAAACCCTCTGATTTAACTCCATTTTTTTTCATAGAAGGTCTCACTGTATAGTGCAGGCTGGCCTCGAGTTGATCCTCCTGGCTTAGCATTGCAAGTGCTGAGATTATAGGCATAAACCACCACTCCCAGCTCTCCACACCAATTTTTTAGCACACTGTATGTGAAACAGATGCACTTTAGCAGCAAGGTTGCTTTCTCCATTTGATCAGCTGGTGGGGGTGCTAAATGGAAAGGCCAGGATAGGTGGCTCTGATGATAGAATGTGAAGGAACACACAGATTTGACTTTAGGGTTAAAAACTGCAGATATCCAAGTTTTCCTGAACTCTTTCCATGCAGTCCTCTGGGAAAGTATATCTTATCTTCAAGTAGAAAGTACTGAAACAAAGATCCATAAATAACTATTTAAATCAAGCCACTGGCTTTTTATCCACAATTCTGAATTCCTTCTTGTGTGATATATACAATGCTAAGTGCGTAAGATGTGTCATTTCATTTAATTCTAGCAATAACTAAAGAAAGTGGGTAGTTATTTCCATGTTATGGATTAAGGATCCAAAAGCACAGAAGAGTTAGGTTACTAACTGAAGGCTTAAAGAGATGACATTGTCAGTTTAGTATGTACACAATAAAATAGACCTTGTTAGAAGTCCTTAATCTTGCATTTCTATTTTTAGATATGCCTGTTGCCTGTATCTATGGCTGTCAAGGACAATTTGCAAAGGAAATAGTGTCTGACAGAATTTTGATTGGATTAGCAGTGAGTGAAGTCTTCTTCTGGAGGAAACACTGCAAGTTTTTATAAAAACCTCAGATCAAAGTTTTGCCTGATGCAAATGGTAGATGGAGGGAAGGTCGCTGTGAATTTCCCTCGAGCAAAGGCCATTCTGCATGCCCCTTGTGAATGATCTGACAGGCTTTTGTTATGATTCCAAAGTAGAAAGTTCACTCTAGAACTTTTCTGTCCAGAAGTACCCAAATGTCACTTCTCCTGCCCAAACGTAGATTATTACCTCTAGGAAGAAAGTGGAAAGAACTTGCACAGGAACCAAGTCATTTTAACAGGAAGGGCGGATAAAAGGTGGGAAAACACCATTGCTATCTTATAAACAAGACGGTTCGCTCTCCTACAATCGTGCCTTCTTCCTTCTATTTGCATGCATGGTCACATCTAAGGACACATGTTGCTCTGAGAAAGATTAGATAATTACCTTGTAAGAAATTAGGGCAGAAGAATTCTCTGGGGAAAAAAGTGCAGCAAAAACAACCCGTGCGTTTTGCACTTTGGCTCTCACTATGCAGCTCACTTCAGTAGGACTGAGTGTGAGGGTGAGCCTTGGGATTTGTTTAGGTATACTTCACCTCCTCTTAATCATTTTTGTTATACAACTATAATCCCTGGTTAAAACATGAATGTCCGATGATGTCACAGGTTCACAACTTGGGGTGAAGAAAAGATAGAGGCAGAAAACTATGCAAGGCCTTCCATGACATTTCCGCCAGTGTCTGTGTACTGGACTGGGGTCCAAGACAGGCCCCTGGACTCTTTCCTGGTGGTGACTGTTTTAAACCTGTTCAGAATCCAAACATCTTCACTTAAGAAAACGGCATAATCTTACAAGACAGCCTACTTTCTTTGCTTCCTGATGCTCTGCTGAAGAGTCTATCACAGTGGATTTCCAAACGTTTAGAACAGTGAAAACACTGTACTGAGCTGCTGTTAGACCCGTCACTGAAACTGGGTGCTGTAAAGAAAAAGTGCTAGAAATCAGAAGACCAAAATAGGCCTGTCTCGGAATAGTAATGAATTTGATGGGTCTCTTACAGTAACATCCATACAAGCCCTCTTCTCAGGCTGAGTTTCTCTCTTCTCCTGGAAATGCAGCATGCTTTTTTTCTTAACAGCAGAGCCAAGTCCATTTGTTAATGCATGGCCCTACTTTCCAGGTGTGTCTCCCAGGGTCATAGGGCATGGTGGGTAAGGGGCAAGCAGGACTCCCGTCGGCAGGACCGCTGTGGTTGAGGGAATCTACAGATGGAAGCGGGCTCTCTGGGATCCCCATACGTGCATTTGTGTGATGCAGTCATGAGACAGCCACCCACGGGTGTATCCCAGGGGTGTGACAGTATGTCCTTAAGGGTCTTCGTGGTGTGGTACAGCATGATTTCCTTCATAGGCATGGCTCAGAAGCTTCGTGCGAGGATGAGGAAAGAACGCCAGGATTTAAATCGGTCTCGAGATGGCAGGTGAAATTAGTTGCTATCGCCCCCACCACGCTCACCCCCCAAAAATCCAGGGACTGGGGCAAGGCCATGAAAGCAGCTTTTTCTCAAGCCCTTGCATTTCCTGCAGCAGAATTGGGGTCCCAAAGGGCTGAATCCCCGGCTGGAGGAAGCGGCGTCAGTCAACTTCCTCGGTGGCGGTGGGGGTGCTCGGGACTGCGCGTCCCGCCCCCGGGGAGGGGCGGAGCCGGGCGTCACCCGCCCAGCGGTCCCCTCCTCCCGGCCGCGCACCCAGCCTGGGCGGTCACAGCAGCCGCCTGCAGCCTCGCTACTAAGCCAGAGCGAGACTGCAGGTCGGGCCGGGCCGGGCCGAGCCGGGCTGGGCTGCGCCGGGGGCTCGGTCGCCACCCGTGTCGGTGAGTGCAACCGCGGGAGCAAGCAACAGGGAGCCGGTCGAGTTGGGGACGAGGACTGGGCCGCCAAGACCGCGAGTTTGAAGAACCTAGGACCCCTGCCTGGAGGGACACTCCAGAGCCGCACTATCGGGGAACCCCAGCCGCGGGAAGGTGGGTTAAGAACCCCGACTGAGAGTTTCAGCTCTCCCAGAATGAGAGTAGGACGGCTGATGTGGACCATGGTGTTGGGGAGCTCTGATTCCTAAAAATCTGAAGCAGGGATGAGGGGCCAGGTCAGCGATGTTGAGATCTCCAGTGCGGGAGCGCAAAAAACTGGGGAACGAATGGAGGTGTCAGGACCGCTGCGTAGATGAGCCCAAGAGGGCGGGTCGAGGGGTGTCCCGTTCTTTCTTGGGGCGCCCTCCGCAGGGCAAAGGGGAACGGAACCCTAGAGCAAAAGAACCACCGGGCTGGGAGGGGAACCCCGGAAAGAGTGGGGTGGGGCGGGTCAAGTGGCTTCTGCCTGAAACGGCGAAGAGAGGGCGTCTTCGCAGTGAGCGGGTAGAGTGCTGTTGAAAACTGGGGATGAGTACAGCAGGGATGGGGTGGTCGGAGGAGTGGGAATGCCGTGACCATGGTCAGAGGTGGCAGGTGAGGAACAGACACGGGCAGCCGTGGCAACGCAGTAACGTCTGTGGAATGGGGTCGTGGACTTGACAAATATGGGCACTCCCAGACAACGGTGAGTAGGAGCCCAGGACCAAGCCAGTTCCGAGAGTATGGGAAGCCCAGCAGGATTACATCTAGCTAACGTGTGCAGGCTCCTGAAGCAGCCTGTACCTTGAAGTTTCCAGTTGAGCCGCAGGCGCACCCCATCCTCACCCCCATGCATGGACTATGGGATCCCCTTCTTTGTTTTGCCCTAAATTACACCACAGACGAGCGTGGTGGCACATACCTGTAATCGCAGAACTCAAGAGGCTGAGGCAGGAGGATTGTGTGTTCAAGGCCAGTCTGGGCTACAAAGTGAGTTCAAGGCCAATCTGAACTGCAGAGTGAAACTGTATCTCAAAAACAACTACACCCCATATTTCTGAGCTGAGTTAGAAGTGATTTTTGCCCAGGGATCCCATGAGAAGAGCCTAGACCAAAAAGAATAGCAATATCCACCTGTGTATGCCTATTATAATTCATGTAATAAAAATGTAATTTTTAGAACCACACCTACAACTTGCTCCTTACCCTGAGAGGCTGTCTGTGAGTAAAAACTTGAGGAAAGTCAGTAATCCACACATACATACACAACCACAAGTGCACTACCTTTCAGTATCAAGTAAACAGGAGGTAGATGGGACAGTTTGGGGTTGTCTGTGTCAACGAAGGCTTCCTCCGCTACAGGTAATAGGAAGCATCTAGTATAGAAGGCACATTGCCCTTGATTGCCTAAGACCGTCCACACCTGTACCCACTCTTGACTTTGTACCCTTGACAAGTCAGCTAAAAGGAGCCAGACAGCCCACCTTTCTCACCTCAGCTGATGGGTGCCTTAAGTGTATGTGTAAAACAAATGACCAGGGCTTGGTCTGTTTATTATTCTATTGTTTGCCTTCGGCTAGTTAATTTGACTATGGTATATTAATTTATCCTATACTGTTAATTATGCATAATGATTAGTTTATGCATAATGATTAGTTTTATTATGCAACTGATTCAGGAAGGCCTGGGTTCTAGGAATCCTATTAAGTAGGTTTCTGTGATGGAAGATACCTGGATTAGAGAGAGAGGAAAAAGGCCCACCTTCCACCTTTCTTTGCCATGTAGAGGTCTGACTTTCTGACCTACTGCAGGAGCCTCCTGGACAGAAGGAACCAAGGATAGCTCTGACAAATAGCATTTGTTGCTACTATTGTTTTTTCATGAACAGCATGTCTCTTCAATAATTGCACAAGTTAAATGGACAATGATGTATTCATTTTTCAAGTGTCATTTCAGGAAAACTTTGTTCCCTTAGGAGGGTGGGTGAATATAGCTTAATGAATGGTAAGAACTATGCACCAAAAATCTGCATTATCATTATTATGACAGCATTATTTATTCACTTGGACATAAAGCTAGTTGAGGATTCCAATTATTTATTCAAATGTTAAAATAAATATGCCCATATGTATACATTCTCATTTTCTCCTATTCAGAAGCCTCTTAGAAAGCTGTGTACTAATTCTAGTGAAGCTGTTACGGCTGAGAATAATTTTGGATCTCCTGCTTTGGAGTTGCCTTTATAGTTTGCAACACATTTACTGAATTGCCTCAGTGATGATAAAACCTCCTCAGTTGGGAAAGCACCAAATGCCTATTGGTAAAATAATGTTCATTAAACTGGTGAATATTCTCTTGACAAACTGGTAGTTCTAAAACAGATGTCTAGGAAATGTATGATATATGGATTAAGTATTAAAAAACAATGACTTCAAAGTAAGTTTTCTGTCTCTGATAAAATATTTCCTGTAATCCATGTAGAGGGAAGAAAGATTTTGGCCATGGTTTAAGAGGTTTCAGTCCATGGTCACTTGGCCCTGTTGCTTTGGGCCTGTAATGAGGCAGAGCATCATGGGAGGGAACATGTGATAGAGAAAAGCTGTTCACCTCATGGCAGCTGGAATGAGGGTGGGCATCCAGGACCCCAACATACATTTCAAGGGCATATCATCCAGGGATCTCCTTACTCCAACTAGATCTCACCTTAGTGTCCACCACCTCACATTAGAGCCACAAGCTATAGAATAAAACCAGACAAAATGAAGCAGAATAAAACCAATCAAAACAAAACAGTGAAAGTGATACAGGACTTCAAAACAAGATAATAAGAAATCAACAATGGCTACCATAATGCCTCATTATCATCAAAATAGGTGCCCATTCAGTGCTTGAGTTTTGATGGGAAAGGATTTATGTAGGAGAAGGTAGATGAGAATGACTGCTGAAAGTCCATGTCAAGTATAAGATTCCAGGTCACACAGTTGAGGAAATAATAGAATATATCGTCCTCTTCTTTCCTAAGTGCCCCCAATTTTTCTGGATTATATACCATAAAGCTGCATACAGCCATGGCTTAAATCTTGATCTAACCATCATTTTGGGCAAATTGTTTCCCCTCTTTTGGCCTCAGTTTTCTTACCCTAAAATGAAGATACTGATAAATACATACCTCAAACACTGTGATGAATGTTAAATAAGATTTATGCATATAGAATTCTGAGTTTGGTGCAAGATGGGTAATGAGTACTCAAAAACAGTCTAAAAATTATTGGTGGCATTATACTAAAATTCCTTTAAAGTCATGCAAATTTTTAACTGTCAGATAATAATATTCCTTTCAACTGGACTTTTTTTTTTTTTTTTTTTTTTTTTTTTTGTCTTTTTCGGTATCAGGGATCGAACTCACGACTGCCTGCTTGCAAGGCAGGCGTTTATGCTGCTGAGCCAAATCCCCAGCCCCCTCAACTGGACTTTTCAACAGTATGTAAATAAGAAATTTTGTTTTTAGCCATGTAACATGCTAATTTTTAAAGGGTGACTTTAAAAGCAACGACAGCTAATTACTTTATTTTAAATTCAGATTTTTGTTTTGTTTGTTTGTTCATTTGTTTGGAGAGAGGGCCTTGTTATGTAGTTCAGGCTGCTTTGAATTCATTGGGTAACCCAGGCTGGCTTCCAACTCAGCTATCTTTTTGCCTCAACCTCCTGAGTATTGAGATTACAGGGGTGCCCCACCATGCCTGACTGAACTCAAATATTTTTAAAATGAATGTTCATGTTATGATTGTATGACATACATTATACAATTTGATATAGTAGTGAAAATCTGAAGAAAAAACTGGAATTTAAAAGCCTCTTTTATACTTTTTTTTCCGGAGCCAATGAAAACATTTTTCTAACAAAACAGCTATAGTTCTCTTGGCAAGTATTGAAAGGGACAATTCCAGTAAACATTCTTTTCAATTAAGACCTGAAATTTGCTTTATTTTGTGTTGCAACGGACATGAAAGAATAGTCTGATGCTAAATTCTTAATTCTTCCATAAATATTAGCATTATTTCTTTTCAAATTTGTGAATTTTACTTTTATGTATAAGATATACACTAGAAAGGTGAGAAAATAAGCTTATCTTAATCAATTTGGGTTTGCTACGCAAGAGATAATATTCTGTGAAATTTCAGCTTTTAAGAGGATTCCCAATTGCTGCTTGTTAATCTAGATGTCCCTCCAAAGTGGTCATAGATAGGACTTTTTGGAGGTGGCTAGGTACAGGCGGTGTGTGCTGCTGAGACCGGGAATATAGGCTGGGTTTGATTCACAGTGCAGTGCTAGGGTGAAGGATGTGAGTGCTACCTACCCTGATGGTGGGTATCCTAGATAAGAGGCAAGAGACAGACGGCTAGTGCTTTTTTTCTTGTTACTTGACACTTGCTGCCTGCTGCCTTCTGCTTGCCATGAATGATTTCTTCTCTGTGATGCCCCCTGCCTTAGAGCCAGCCAACTATGAACTGAAACTTCTACAAATTGAGTCAAATAAACCTTTTTTTCTTTAACTTTAGGTGTTGGATATTTTGTCTCAGCAGCAAGAAAAGTTAAGACACCTTTGTTTTAGGCACACAGGAGCTAGAGATGGAGCAGGCTTTACCCTCCTAAAGCTTGCATAATCTGCAGTGCAAATATTGTTTCTCCTTATGGATTATGCAGCTGAGAATTAATATGCACTTCACTACATGTTCTTTTCCTTCAGTATCTTGCAAAAGACTAGATAGGTACAGTATATATCATAAGGGTGTTCATATTTTTGATGTAGGTTATCTGTCTTAGGATTAGACTCACTATACACTCATATGCTACAAAAGGAGGTAGTGTGTCTGAAAGTCCTTAGCCAGCAGCGTAGTGTATATAACTGTAGGATATAGCAGTGTTATAGCTGCACTCTATTTTCCTGGAGGGATGTGGCTTATGCACTTACAAAGTACCAGGAAACAACACACAAGGTAGCTTAGCCTAGAGCAGTGGTTCTCAGTTGGGAGGGGGCGTGATCCTTCCTACCCCCTAGAAACTTGGAAATAGCAAAGACATTTTTGACTGTCATAATCGAATGGGTGGTATCCAATGGGTGAACACCAAGATGCTCCTAGGCATCTTATGTAGCCCCTCATAACAAAGAACTGTCTGGTCCAAGGTGTTAGTAGTACTGAAAAATCCTGGCGTACAGCCTAGGACATGGTGTGAATGAGAATAAACCAGTGCTACCACCTGACACCATCAAGTAGTTGCCACACCTGAGTAAGTTATTTAACTTGAATACCCAGAAAATGCACATCTGAGGACATGCCAGAGTTAAATAAGAGTGTACATGAAGTGCTTAGTATTCAGCAGATACTCAACAAATGCTCATCTTAGTATGATGAGCAGTTAATGGATAAGGGTCAAAATCCGAAGATTGGACTTTTAAACAAACATAGCTTTGTGTGCTTGTTTGTGTGTGGCAGTGGGATGCATGTTTTGATATAGTTGCTTATCTCTTGGTATGAGACAGACTCACGGTTATACAGTCCAGGCTACCCTCAAAATTGCAAAAGACTTCTGAGTGCTTATCTCTTGGTATGAGACAGACTCACGGTATACAGTCCAGGCTACCCACAAAATTGCAGACTTCTAAGTGCTGGGATTAAGGTCTGCACCACTGTATTGGCTAGCTTTGGGTTTTTAACCCATCAAGTACACAAAGAATCCAGGTCTCTCGGTTTATCCATATACCTGAAGGTAGGGCAAGGCTTAGAGTTATGCTTCCTCCTGCATTCTGGACCAGGTTCTGCCAAACAACTAAAAGCAGTGCGCAGGTCTCACCAAGCAAGTGAGGAGGATAGTCTCCAAGAGTGTTTTGTGTAAAGGAAAGATGACTGAGAGCAAAGATGTTTTCTGTTGCATCTGGGCTGTACCTGGAATGAAGAGCCCCCTCTCATTGAACTTATCTCCTAGGATTCAGCAAGGGCTTCTCATATCTAAGCTTCCCTCAGAGTAGCCAGGTCTGGCAGGTTCCCTTTGTTTTTCCTTAGCCTCTCATTCTTAACCAAGAAGTTCCTGTAGGGATCCCTTTACTTTTAACAAGGTACTGCAATCTGTTCCAGGTTTTGCTTTGCTTGGTGTCACCCTGCCACCTGGGAGAGGAAGCCGAAGATTTCCTTTGATGCTCATTCATTCTGGGCTTTCCTCAGCCACCAATAACCAAATAACCAAACTGCCATAATAAGCAGATCTTCAGGAGAATGGGAGTGCAGTAGGGGGAGGCAAATTCCTTGCTCCAGAGAGTTTTTAGCACACATGGATGTAAATAAGTGGTTTTTCTGCCTGTGAGCCAGAAGTCCTGAGGACTCTGTATCGGGTGTACAATAGAATCACCTGGGACTGCCTTGACACAACCCAAACCTCATTAGAATCTTTTTTTTTTTTTTTTTTAGTCTTTAAAAAAATGTTTTTTCTATTTTAAAGAAAATAAAACAAAACAAAATAGAACAAAGCAGTTCAGAACAAAACAATACAAGCAACACACGATCTCAAAGCAAGACAACAGGAAATGAACAGTGGCTACCATAATATCTCTTATTTTCTTCAAAATAGCTGTCCATATCTTCACACACAATGAATTCAAAGAAAACAAAATAGTATGAGATGGATCAAAACCAAAGAATGAAAGCATTATAGGCCTTCAAAGCCAGACAATAGGAAAATCAACAATGGGTACCATAATGTCTCTTGTTCTCTTCAAAATAGTTGTCCAGGGGCTGGGGATTTAGCTCAGCGGCATAAGCGCCTGCCTTGCAAGCAAGCAGTCGTGAGTTTGATCCCTGGTACCGATAAAAATGAAAAAGACAAAAAAATTTAAAAATTAAAAAAACAAGAACAACAACAACAAAACAAAATATCTGTCCATACCTTCACACATATTGAAATCAAATAATAGAAAACAGACTAAAACAAACAAAGCATTATTGGACTTCAAAACAAGATGAAAGGAAATTAGCAATGGCTACCATAATGTCTCATTTTCTTCTAAGTGGCTGATTAGAATCTTAGTAGGTAGGGCCTGAGTATTAGATGCTTAAAAATGCTTCTCAGATGATTCTGATGCCCAATAACTGAAAGTCAAAGACCATTGGCTTATGAAATTAATGGCTGGCATTTAAAAACAGAAAAAAGAAAACGGAATTTAAAATACCAAAATAACACAAGTATTATTTTGTTAAGCTTTTGCTTCAGTAATAGGTATATTACACTGGTGGCTGCAGTGTAAAAGGTTTCTTCTAATAGGTGTAGTCAGAGAAGTTTGAAAAAATTGTTTCAGAGCTTTAGTAGTGTTCAATTAATATTGATATATTTGCCTTGTTCAATAATTCTGTGTGTACACTGCTGTTTTCAGAGTGCTTTTATATATCTTGAAAAATATGATTTTGCTACCATCCTCTGAGGCCTACAGTTGATATCATCATTGACTTTTTTAATACATGATAAATTTACAGCTTGGAGTAGAAAGTACAAGAAATTTTTCAAAGTCACAAAGAGAAAATGGAAAAATAGGGACTCTGTCTACAACTTTGAATTCTGTCTGAGTTCCTAATGTTATGGGCAAAGATAGAGTCTTTGCTTTTAGTGCTAATGGAAATTAAAACTAAAGTAAGAATTTGCAAGGGAAGCTTTAACTGGAAATTAAGAGAGAAGACAGGGAAAGGGCTCCAGCTGGAGCAGTAGCTGCAGGGGGTGTCCTGTGATGCAGGGTTTACTCTGACCTGCTGACAAAAGCCGGAGGCAAATTTAGCAAGCACAGGCCAAAGTCTTGGTTTCTTAGCCCTGGAGAAATCTTCATGGCTTGAGAGTAAGTTGCATTTCCATGAAATCACTTTCTTTGTGACAGCTTCAGTCCTATGAGGTTCTGCTTCTGGGACAAAACAATGGCTGAAGACTTCTAGGTGCTGCCTGCTCCAACAGGGGAAAAGACTGTGACAGGATGTTGCAAAAGCTGGTGACACGATGGCCCTGTGAATCTTGAAAATTAGTGACTTTTCTTGAAAGTGGATGATAGCCCATGCAAATTTAGTGCTAATAAACTTCATTTTGCCAACTGTTAATTTTTTAATGAATTAATTGAGACAGGGTTCCACTATACAGTTCAGACTGGGCTTAGACTTACTTTGTAAAGCTCAGGCTGGTCTTAAACTCATGGTAATCTACCTGCTTCAGCCTCTTGAATGTTGGAATTACAGATGTGTGTGCCATGCCTGGTGCACTCTACCAACTTTTAGGCAGATACTCTCTAAATGACTAACATGCCTATATGCAAAGCTAAATTTTGATAGAGGTAATCAGTCACAATTTTAAGAACTCATGTGGAGAGGAGGTAGGCTTACCTTGCTTTAGACTTATCTGGTTCCTGACTTGAAGCCCTGTTTCCTAGCAGTGTAAGAATTTGAGGGAGACCA